CAAGGCTGGCAAAGTAGGCAGGGCCCCGATTATGGATAACCTTATACACCATGCTAGGACCTGGTTGTTATCCCAAAGCAATGGAAAGCCATTAAGAGTTTTAGACAGAGGAGTGACATAAGCAGACTTATATTTGTAAAAAGATTACCTGGTTTCAGAGAAGAGAATAGGTAATAGTGAGAAATAAATTATGAAGCTGTTGAGTAGCAGGACTTGGGTCAGAAGAGAAGGAAGCTGTATTAATAAGAACATTAGACAGAACTGACAAAAAAAAAAAACTACTTCAAACTAGAAAAGAAGAAAAGGAAGAAATATATTATCTTATTTTAAAAAAAGGAAGGCCCAGGGATTGGCTTTAGACCCGACTGGATCCAGGGACTCACAAGGAGTCAACAGGTGTCCCTCCCTACCCCATCTTCCCATACACACATCTATATGGCTGCTAAAAGCCATCTTTATATTTTCATAGTTTTCCACATTGTGAATCCTACCTTCCAAATGTAGAATATAAAAAATTACTCCTTTGCAGCTAGTGTAAAGGCATGTGATCTAGGCTTTGCCAAACAGATATAACCACGCAAGACATGAATGTAGAGGGGGGTGGCGTGCAGTGACGGGAGCTTGATTATTTGACAAGGTCAGTGGTCAAGGTTTCTTGTTCTTTTGATGCAACAACAGCACAGATTCTAGTGTCCAGTTCAGGGTTGGGGGAAGGTGGCAAGTGATAAGAGTTAGCAGGAATGGTCTTTTTGCTAGTCCAATTTTTCTATGATGTTAGGCATTGTTTCTAATTGCACTTTTTCTGGCTGTAGCATCCATGGCAGGAAACTATCAAGCCTAGTTTTCCAGAAATCCTGAAAATTTCTTGAGCTACCTAATATCCTTTAATAAATTCCTTTTTGCTTAATTTAGCTGTACTAGCTGGAATAAATTTTGTTGTTCATAATCAAGAATGCTATTATACTACTCACGTCTTGATTTCTTTTATGTGTTGTGGGTTCTCTTCTCAAGCAGGCTTTCACCACATGGCAAAGAAAAGGGCCACCAGTACCCATTAACTGGCATTTTCCAGGTCCATGACTCAAAAAACGTGTCCCCTTATCCTTCAGCACCAAATTTAAAAAGCCTGAGGAATAATAGTAGCTACCATAGTATAGCACTTACTGTGAACAGGCACCATTCAATATATTCTACTTATATTATCTCATTCAAGCCTTACAATATCTAAGAATAGGTATGTGTTCCCCACTCCCCTTTTTCAAAAGAGGGAAATGATTAAGTAAATTTTCCAAGATCATAAAGCTAGGAAGTGATAGAGTCAGAATTTGAACCTGAACAATTTGACCCACAGTCTATGCTCCCAATGCTGGGGCATTTTAAACAGAAGTTGAGTAGAGAGCAGGAAAAAGGACTGAAAAGTGCAACCAACAGGGTAGGTAAAAAATAAGAGAAATCTGGAGGAAAATGTGGTGTCTTAAAGACGAAAAGATTTCAAGAAGGAAGGAGACACTGAATGATACATGTGAAGAATGTCGACATGACGAATGTTTTGTTACATATATATTTACCACAGTTAAAAAGAGGGCAGAGGAGGAGGAGGAGAAGAAGGAGGGGGCAGAAGAAGGAGAAGAAAGGAAAAATCAGCTGTGTCAGATGCTAGTAAGAGGATGAGTAAGTTAGGACAAAGAATTGACTATCAGATTTGGTAATGCTATTAATGAACTTGATAAGATCTATTTCAGCAGAGTGGTGGACCCAAAAAGTATACTTGTAATGGGTTTATGACGGGAAAAATGGGAAGTGAAAAAGTGGAGGCAGGAAGTATAAACAAATATTTTGAGGATTATGTGAAGAGAGGGACAAAATGGAATATACAAGAGGGATGTGGGACCAAAGAAGTTTTATTTTTAAATACGATTAATAATGAGACATGTTTATATACTGTTAGGAATAATTCAATGATGACAGAAAAACCAATAATGCAGGAGAGACAGGAGAACTCCAGTATTGAGTAACCAAGGGGGGATGGGATCCAAGACACAGATAAAGGGGTTGGATGTTAGGAATAGAAGTAATAGAAGAAAAAATAAAATATGTGGAGGGTACAGATGTAGATAGATTGGTAGGTTTAGTGATAGGCAGATGAGGTAGTTTTTGACTGATTGTACTTAATTGATTAAGGTCACCGGCTGAGTGCAAATAAGATGAAGGGATGGAGGTCTGAAAAGAGAAATTGTCTTAGAACCTAGAAGAGTGATTGTGCCAGGGAAGCACATGCAGTAGAACTATCTGGCAGCATTGATACCATTTGGGATTTAGGGTGGAAAACTTCAGGTGAACCCAGTCAGCATGGTTGTATAAATTTTCCCTAATACTCTCAGTTGCTCAGGTGTAGTCAGAGCAAAGGAGAATACCTGGGTTTCATAAGGATTGTTTTTTGTTGTTGTTCAGATAAGTTCAACGCAGGGAGACAGGGGCAAGGAAGTTCAAGTTTTCTGCAAGAAAGTAACTAAAGTGTCACATCATCGAAACTAGCTAAGCAAGAAGATAAGTGATAACGTGAAGGAGAGGGAAAGCAAAAAATCAGCGTTAATGGATTGATTGTTCCTATGAGATCAAAGGACAGTTCCAAAGGAACTGGTAGGAGTGAGGTCAAGACTCAGAAGACAATGGATAAGAGAGTGAGATAATGCTCTCAGTCTACAGCTTTTGAAGGAGGGAGACTGCTTGTAATGGCTACCAATAATGTCTATGTTGTGACCGTAGATATGGCTGGCTGCAGTGGAGTGCAGGGAATTATTGGAGCAGAGAAGTTCAAGAAACTAAGAAATCAGCATGTGTGGTGGATTATCTACCAAACCAAACCTGTTGCTGTTGAGTTGATTTTGATTAATAGCAACCTTATAAAAATCACAAGATTGAGTGTAAGAGTAATGGAAGAAACAAAGACAGTGAACCAGATGATAAAATCATCACAGTATGATGGGGAGATGGCCAAAAGATTCTAGAAGATGCTATCTACTGGAGAGATGTTCGGTGGTAAAGTCTGAAGAAATGAAGTCAATGGTTTTGGGGGGTTTAACATAGAAAGGACAAATGGTTTGGAAGGAGTAATAGGAAGAAAGTGGGCACCTACTCCACTTACAGGTCCTGAGACAAATGAGGAGTGAAAGAAGAGACATCCTCCATTTAAGAGACCTTCCAGGAAAGCAGTTTCCTCTGGGAACAGTCAGGTTTCAGTTAGAGGAAGAAGGGGAAGGAAATGTTCAGAGAAGAGTCTGGAACACAGGGGAGTTTGCTGATGGCAAACCAAGAATTCCAGACAGTGGATTGGAGGAGTTTGGAAGTACAAGAAGCATAAGAGATGAAGTCAGATTGGGTGGAGGTGGGGGCCTGGAAAGCAGTGTTGGGATAAGCAAAGTGGGATGATGATCTGGGATATTTGAACTTCTAGTGCTGAGGTAACTGGGACACGAGGTATGTTGGGAGTAGTCCTGCAAGACAGGAGGAGAGTGAGTAACAAGTGGTATCCAGAATATTTAGTTGGAAGATGTGAGGTCATGTTCAATTCTACAGCTCACAGGGCATTTGGGTAAGAGGAATGGAAGAGGGCATCCTTGCGGAACAGGTCATCATCTGCCATCAGTGAGCAGTGCTGGTTGGGGTAAGAACTGTCTCACTGGGAGCACCAGCAATTGTTGAGACCTCCAGACCCTGGTCTCTCCCTTCATTGTGGTGTTGTCACACTCTGAGCACTAGTGGGCCTGCTGCACAAGCTCATTCCCTCAGGTGGGAGACGTAGACAAAGGGCCATAGTCTGTCTCAGGGCAGAAGGTTTTATAGCAGCTGGAAAATAAGGTTGGGTGAGGGGTTGGGGCCACTAATCTTTCATTCTCCTGGAGATGGGAAAGGAGTTGTAATTGTTTCCTTATCATCTGGAATTCTAGCCTAATCTTTAGCCAGTAGGTTTCCTTTGTCCCATTTTGTCCCACTACCCTGAATTGTGTCTATTCAATTGAACAGCCTTCATACAACAGTTCAAACAAATTCCAATGATATCTGAGATTTCAGACAACTATTGTTCCCTTTTGACCCTTTCTCTTCATTCCATCAAAACAAATCAAACAAAAAATTGGTAGATAAAGACAGCTAGATAGGTAGATAGGCAGATATACAGATAGATGAATGATAGATAATAGATAATGAGAGAACAGGATGGGGAGGGGTGGGGAAAAGAGAGGAGAGATAGGTAAGGTTTTGAGTAAACCTTCAATGATTGGCAAATGTTTAGGTATTCTTTGGGATAATCCAGTCCTACAATCTTGTGAAAAGGACAATCCTGTTTAGAAACCTAATCAGCCAGATTAAAGTTAATTTCCATATTCCCCAACTTCTACATCCAAAAAATCAGTACAGTTCTCAGACAAATGTGCATTTGAAGTAAGAAAGGCTTAAAGGAGGAGTTAGAAGTCCACTCTGAAACTTTCTAATGTCTGAATCAGAACTTATCTTAAAGACCTTGAGGTAATTCAGTCCAAAGGCAAAGCCAGAGCTCTAGTCCAAAGGTCTATTTTAAATAGAAGTTGGACCCTGTCTTGCCAGGAAAATGGAGCTCTTAAATCAGGGTAAATTTCACTATAATCAAGAGGAACTGACATTGTCTCTCAAGAAGGATCAGACAATAGATTGTGATCGATCAAGAAGGGAGTCAGGATCAGTTTCAAAGGTCATTTAAAATACTTGTTGTGAGTTTACCCTCTCAATGGCCTTTAAGCACCCTCCCATACCTCTCCTTTTAAATACTCACTATGGTTTTTTTCTTGGTTATAGAACCTATATGACATTCCAGAGACTCAGCAGAGACAGCACACACAGCCTAGACCATTAGTCCCCAAACTTTGATGTACAAAAGGATTCTCCAGAGAGTAGAATCATCATAAATGTAAGCTCCCAAAACCCATCCCTCTGAGGTGATGATTTCAGATACTGTACCTTATCTCCCTTAATCCTCATGTGAGATCTCTAAGGAAGATGCTGTTTTCATCCTCATTTTGTAAATGAAGAAGCTGAAGCTGAAGAAGGTAATTTGGTCAAGTCTCTCCATCAGTAAGTGATAAAGCTGGTCTCATGTGCAGGGTGTCTGATGCCAGATCCTGAGTTGTATCTGCTTCCTGTCCACTTACAACCAGAGGAAGTTTGTGTTACTCAGAAAAAAATGAGAAATTTTAAAAGATGGTTTCTTTTCAGAAACATCTTTCCCCAAATCTAAGTTATTTTATTGTTAAACACCACACACACACACACACACACACACACACACACACACGCACGCACACACACACGTACGTGAATATTTTGTACTTTTTAAGCTGGCCTGGCAGTTATCCAAGCAAAATGAGGACACTTTTTTTGTTGTTAAATTTTACAGTATTTCAAAGAAAGTTAAATTATCAGAAAAGTGTAAGAATTATTTCTCCAGGGCTTAGAATTATTTATACAGCTACTACAACTTTCAAAATAATGTTGATGTATAATTACATTTGTTCTATTCACTTAAAAAAGAAAACAAAGAGGAACTCTCTTGACCTTATCAGGTTTACTGTTCCTTAATTAGTCAATTCCAAGTAAGCATTCCAGGCATTGTTGTACAATAGTTCCATCCTGTATTACAAAATATTTAGATGGTATGACGTATCTGAGCTATATTTACCTATGGTAGTTGGGTTTAGAACTTCTTTAGGGCACATACAGACCTGTAATCCAGCCAGTTTTCCAATTAGAGTTTTTTATAATACGCTATCCCTTCCCCCTTCCAGCCTCCTCTCAAATCTCTGTTTCTATAATCCATTTCCTCTCCTTTCTACCTGCCCCAGCATTTTCATCCCCATCCAAATGTATTTTAGCTACTGAACACCTTATTTCGCTCAGTGTCTTCAGTGTGCCCTCTAGATCTCCCCCGTAATGTGAATAAGCATTCTGTATGCTTTCCTCGCACACCTCCCACCCTGACTGTCCTGTATTCCAAAGCCTTTATTCAATAACCTCTCCTCATAGCAGGTGAAGGCCATCTGAATGCCCACTCTCTGCCGTCCCTCTTCATGGTTGTTCATACACCTGAAGGATACCTTCCCATCTTCCTCAATTACTTTAGACCCAGGGTCAGTCTTCTTCCACATCCAGTCCTCCACCAACATCCTTGACTCTTCGTCTGCACTCAGTCTCCTTCTATCATCGTTGGGAACATCTGTACCTATTAATGGCTCTGTCAGTGGGCTGGCCTTCCTCCTCTTCAATTCCAGAGAACTCCATCTTCACTCTATCTCAGCCACTTTTCAGTGTAGTCAAACTTTAACTTTCCCCATCCTCCATAGTGCCCCATTTCTAAGATCCCAAACTGAAAGTCAATTCACTCTTTAGAACTATAATCTGCCAGCTTCCTAGTTTCCTATTCTTTCACTCCCTCTGCCTCTTGACCTTCATACTAGCCCACAATCTCATACTCTACCTCAGTTCAGCTTGACTTGTCTTCCTGTTCAGTCTGGTACAATGATCAGACTATTCACTACCTCCCTAGAATCTCCCACTCCTTGGCCTCCTACTTTCCCAGGGCTTAGAATTATTTATGTAGCTACTACAACTTTTAAAATAATGTTGAAATGAAAACAAAAGGAACTCTCTTGGCCTTTTCAGGCTCATTGGTCCTTAATTAGTCTTTGTCTATAACTATCTCACTTTCTCCCTTGTTTTTACCAAACTATCTCTGCTCGTTGACCATTTCTTCACCTATTTAGTCTTTAATTCCTAGAAATCTGGCTTCTATTCACACTGCTATGCCGATGCTACCTCTTCCCCCACTTTGCTGGAACTCATCTAATCTCCTCACCACCAAATTGAGAGACTTCTGCTCATTTTTTGTCACCTTGATCTTCCTGTAGCATTTGACATTGTTGGCTGAATAAGTGCTTCTTCCTTCCAGTTCTAGCCCTCTCTCTCTTCCTCTGAGAAACTTGTTGTTATTAACAGCTGTTGAGTCAGCCCCCGAGTCATGGTGACCCCATGTGTTATTGAGTAGAACTGCTTCGTAGGGTTTCTTGGCTGTAATCTTTATCGAAGCAGTTCTCCAGGCCTTTCTCCCACAGATTTGCTTGGTGGGTTCAAACCACCAAGCTTTAGGTTAGCAGCTGATTGCAAACTGCTTGCTCCACACAGGCTCTTTCTGGGAAACTATGCTATCCTAATTCTCTTCTCGCCTCTACCTGCATCTTCTGGGTCTTTCTCCCCTTCCCCTAACTCCCAAAAGCTTAGTGTTTCCCAAGGTTATATCCTCATCTTCTTTTCAACCTATATATTTTTCCCTTATGAATCTAATCTACTCCTCATTTCCTTATATAGTAAGACTTCAAGCTTAAAGACAAACTGACCTAAATTCTGCCACTTACTAGAACAGAGTTTGGCACATAGCAGGTCTTCCATAGGTCATGAGAAGAACGAACTGTGAGAACATGAGAAAACCAATCAGCCTCTCTGGGCCTCAGTTTCATGGTGTCGTTGTGTGGATTAAATGCCAGACTATATAAAGAACCTTATCAGAAAATAACAGGTGCATAATAAACAGTTAACTTCCTTCCCCTATTACCTGTGTAAATAACTCAAAAATCTAAATCTATAATCTAGATTCACTCCAGAAGCCCAGACCCAAATGTATATCTCCCCCTCAATAGCCAGTTGCCCCTTCAATCCCAACAATTTGAAACTTCCCACTCCCCCAAACTAGTTCTGTTCTCTTTTCCAAAACCAGTTCTAGCCCATCCCAAACCAGCTCCTCTCTTCCTTATTTCTGTAATAACGCAATCATTCTCCCAAATACTGAGGTTCCAAACCACAAAAAAAATCATCTTTAATTCTTCTTTTATTCCTCCTTGTGTCCTATTGCCAAGCCCAAAAGCTCTATTTCCACAATGTTCTTCAACACCTTTTCTACACCCACTGCCAATCCTTCTTGTCCAGACCAGGACTGGTTCTTGTCGAGAACCCTCAATGGCTTCTTTAATGGTCTGTTCACCTTCTGTCTCTTTCTACCTCAATCCTGCAATGTTCACCTGCCTAAAAAAAATCCCTGGTCATGTCACTTCCCTGCTCAAAAGGCTACATGAAATCCTTTGCACTTGCTGAGTAGAGCAAACTCCTTAGCCTGGCAATCAGAGCCCTCGTAGTATGAGCAAACTTCTCACTATACATTTTCTGAGCACGCCCTGTGTTTCTTGCCTTCATGTCTTTGCTCCTGTGCTTCTTTTTGCCTGTAGAGCTTTCATCAGCAACTCTGCCTCCTGAAATCTGGCCGACCTTCAAGGCCCGGCTCAAGTCTACTGAAAGTCTTCCCTGATCCTTCAAGTTGGATTTGATTGCTTTTTTCCAATATTTTTATTTCTTTATGCCTTGTTTTAGTCTATGGTAATCAAGGGGATATATCTACCTTCTCCACTATATAATAAATTCCTTTCAGACAGGGAATGTGTCTTATTAATTTTTATATCCCAGCAAAATTCTTTGTACTGAAAATGCCATCTGTAAATATCTGCTACATTGGCATGTATATAACTTTAAGAAATCTCACACTGAAATTCAGTGTTTTTGAAACTGCTCGTTACAACCATTTGTCTATGTAGAAAAAAATGCAGCTTTCAAGGCTTCTTGTTGACATATCTCTTAGGAGTGGACAGAAAGGACTTAGAAGATAGATATTTATCATAGCTGTGAAGTATCTTCCCCACCCCCCTTCAGCCTCTTCCTTAAATCATACTGATGGCTGAGCTTACAGATAAAATGATCAATTTAGAGAAAAATAATCATTGTAGTTTTCTTTCCTGGCTAAGAAGACCAGAAAATAATTTCCCTTCTGAAGAGCCTTGTGTATGAGAGATAAAGAATGTATCAGTTCAGAAACAGCAACGGCAGGGATAATTTGTCAAGGCTTCAGACTGCTTTATAAAACCCACCCTGGACTTTTCAGTTCTTACAGTTAGCAAGTCTCAGAAAGCATGATGCAGCAGAAAGGGTTTTGGACTTATCCCAACTCAGCCACTGATAGGTCATGAAACCTTGTCAAAGTCACTCCTTGCTGTGGGCCTTAATTTCTCAATCATAAAATACAGACGTTAACGCAGTGGGTGACCGCTAAGGATCCTTCCATCCCTGACCCTCTCTAACTCCAACATGTAAGAGGTCTCTGCATCTGCAGCCATTTGAAAGCAGTACAGAGAAGGGATGAAGAATCTGAGCACCAAAGTCAGACTTGTGGTTGTTAGTTGCCACCAATCGATTCCAACTCATGGTGACCCCATGTGTGCAGAGGAGAACTGCTCTATAGGGTTTTCAAAGCTGCTACTTTTCAGAAGCAGATTGCCAGGCCTGTCCTCCAAGGTGCCTCTAGGTGGGTTTAAACCGCCAACCTTTCTACTAGTAGTCTAGAGTTTAATCATTTGCACCACGCGGGAACTTCTGTAGTCAGACCACTGGGGTCTAAATCCTGCCTTGGCCCCTCCAGCTGTGGGACATTACGGAAGAGACATAACTTTTCTGTTCTCAGTTTCTTCATCTGTAGGAAGGTTAGGATGATGTCAATAATAGTAACAGCCTCATAGGGTTATTGTAAGGGTTATAAAAGATATGTAAATTGCTTAGTATAATGTCTGGCAAATAGCAGGCACTTGATGAATTTAATAATTAGTCACTTAAATGAGTCTATTTTCAAAAACAGTAATTGTACCACGGAGGACACTAGCTGAAGCATCTTCTGTAGGTATATGCCCAGGTATGTCCACAGACATGAGGCAGCCAGTAAATGGCCTTGGCAAATCTGAAGGCAGATGTTACAAACTGGTAGCTCACAAGCTGTATGCCTCATGAAACTGTTTTCTTAGTATAAACGGTGTTGGTTTTGTTGTGCTGCTGCTGTTGTTGTTGTTACTACTGTTGTTGTTTAATTGAATTAGTTTCCAGCACGTCAATATCAGAATTTCACATTTCTGGCTTCTTTTGAAAAATCTGAGTAGCTGGAAAGATTGAACATGCACTTTTGCATGGCATCAAAGATTAGAGCTTCCCCTTAAAGTTCCCATCACTCCCTATTGTCCTCCACCCAGTCTGCTCCTCTCATATATACTACATGCCTTGCATCT